GGATTGTCCTCGTGGTGTTGCCTCTGCACGCGCTGGCGCCGAAGCCGATGCGGGGCTACGGCGCGCTCGCCGTGATGATGACGTTGATCTCGGCGACGGTGGTCACGGGGGTGTGGGGGGTGGAGGGCTCGGACCACTTTTGCGGAGCGATCATCAACCTCACGCTCTTCGCGCTCGCGTTCTTTTTATGGCGCGCGGCGTCGTGAGATCCGGGGCCTGGCAAACGAGCCAACGCACGACAATTGGGAAGGCGAGATAAGGCAAAGCCACAACTAGAGAGGTGGGGGGGGACGCTACAGTGCCCTATGTTTTCTGCAAAAAAAAAAAGGCAATAAACTTGGTTGACTAAGTATCGTGAGGAGTATTGACCATAAGGGAGCTCGATTCAACCGTCAGAGGGTCTGTCAGTAGAAATGAATCCATATGTAAGTAGAATGATGGAGATGCAAACAGTGATATATAAATGGATATTCTTCCTTGACAATAATTAAGTACAAATACACAAAATAGGGTGTTGGATCTTGTTCGCCTCTTATGAATACACGTGCACATTGTATTCCTCAATTAACAACGTTTTTCTTTAACAAAGGCATCTTCCTTCGATGAGTGGTCGCTTTAATTTTATTATTGCTCCTTCTCAAGAAAATTTCATTTCAGATTAAACTGAGTTAAAATTATCTTCAGAAAATGGGCGTATTTGTGAAATCTAATGTTGTTGATTAAACTGTTTATTCTAACATGCTTGTAATGCTATCATTATATATTAATCATTACACATGAGCCAATAATACCAAGGAGAAATGGGACGGTATTTCAGTACTATATATTAGCTTCAAAAAAAAAACCTTGATGACAACAACAACAATAACAATACATATATATATATATATATGTACATTTATGGAAAATTTATCGCAAACTATCGATGTAATTGGTGCGGCCAGTCAGTCCACCGGTGTCTGGCGATCATATAATTGCTACCTCTCACCCCACTCTCTCTCATGCGTGCATGCAATAATCCCCATTGAGTTTACCACATCATAGCATCTACACTAGCACAGTCCTATTAATAAAAACAACAACAACCAAAAGAACCCCCCCACACACCCTCCTCCTTTCATACAATGCCCGGGCCTGGACTTCTGTCGGATGGATGGTTTCGCGAAGAGTGCCCACTCTGGCCGGGGCAGGGCCAGGGCCTCAAAGTCCAGGAAGTCCTCCACGACGCCCCGACGGACTATCAGCACCTCACCGTCTTCGAGTCCGACCGCGCGGGCCCGTGGGGGACCGTCATGACCCTCGACGGAGCGATCCAGATGACCGACTACGATGAGTTCGTCTACCACGAGATGCTGGCAAACATCTCCCTCTGCGGCCATCCCAATCCGGAAAATATCCTGATCGTCGGCGGCGGCGACGGCGGCGTTGTCCGTGAGGTCCTTCGCCATAAAAAAGACTCACACAAGCCCGGCAAAGGGACGGTTCTCACGGTCGACCTCGTCGACATCGACGCCGCGGTGGTGGAGCAGAGCAAACGACACTTTCCGCAGATCGCGTGCGGACTGGAGGACCCCTGCGTGCGGGTCACCATCGGCGACGGCGCGGCCTTCGTGGAGGATTCGATCGATGATAGCTACGATGTGATCATTGTCGACACCACTGACCCGGATGGGCCGGCCTCGGACCTTTTTGGCGTGGAATTTTATCGGAACATCATGCGCATCCTTCGCCCGAACGGGATCGTCTGTAATCAATGCGAGTCGATCTGGCTGAACCTTCCTCTGATCACCAGAATCGTGGACTTCATGAAGAACGACATCGGCTTCAAGATGGCGAAATATGCCATGATCTATACTCCAAGCTACCCGTGTGGAAGCATCGGCACCTTGGTGTGTGCGAAGTCCGCGGAAACGAATGTCATGAAGCCCTTGCGCCCCGTTGAGAAACTCGGCTTTTCTGAGGATCTCCGATACTACAGTACAGAAGTTCATAAGGCGGCTTTTGCACTGCCTAAGTTCGTTGAATTTTTAAATGTGGATTAACTTTCCTTAACTGTTCAGCCGAGTTTATAATGGTCCATCTATTATAAAATTTTATCATTTAAAATAATTACGAACCTGTATATATATATAGATATATATTAAGGAAAAACTGACTTCATGTTAGCGTTTAGTAGTATTGGAATTACGTGGAAGATGCTTTAAAGAGCGTTGAATATGAATAAATTCTGATTAGAACGATACGGGAGAAAAAAGTTAAAGAGAAAAGATAGCATTATATATGAAACAGATCCCTCCAGATATTTATTTTATATAAATAAAGTTAAATGACTATGTTCTACACAAGTCATTTAATAGTTCAGATTATAAAAGTCTTAAACGATAAGATCACGTGCAAAATAAAGTGTTTCAATCTTAATCCCAATTTCGCATGTTTTGTCTCCTTTCATGGTGCGTGTGGCTGTCTTTTAATTTGCTTGTATTTTTTCATTTCTCCCTCTTCCTCGGTGTGTATGCAATGTATGCGTATTCGTAGATTCATAGTAATATCAATACGTACTCTATTAAAACATACGTTTAGGTTCGATCCATCTAGTTTTACATTTATTTAAAGGATATAACTATATCCATACACATATATAATTTTATTTATTTATGAATATAGCCAAACAAAAGTGCCCTCATGTCATGGGATAATGATGCTCTGTTAAAATGTATTTGCCTCGTGCGAGCTCGGATGAACGTGGATTTCACCACGACGCGAGCGCCTGTTGCCTCGCTGGATCCGGTGGTCTGCCTCTGCGCACCCTCGCCCCGGCACCCCTCCCTACCTCACCCGAAGGGCCTAACAGCAGAGGAGCAGGCAAGTGAAAGTGGAATACGCTTTTGGGAAGAGCAGTGCGCGCTCCGGGGCGCGCTGGAGATTTTCGCGGGCCGTCTTCTGCGGCGCCAGAAGCACCAACAACAGGGCGCGAACTCGTGGACGCTCCTGCCGGTCGCGGAAGAGGGGCTGTACATCCAGGTCCCAAGCAAAATGTATATAAATACATGCCGAAAATGGATTAACACGGCATCATCAAAAAAATGTGCAAATTCTGAGGAGAGTAGTGTTGAGAATTATATGGATCCGCTGCGCTTTTACGCCGCGGAGAACCCCCGCCCTGAGGTGGGCACGCTCTACGGCTACGCCTTTTATCTGGCCAAAGGGACTAGCCCCGGCGAGACGCAGGCGGTGAGCGCGTTCGACCTCAAGCCGGAAGAAAGTGGTTTGCTGCTTTGCTTCGTCTCCACCGCGCCGGTGTTTAATTTTATGCGGACGCTGACCGTGCAGTTCGTGCCGGTCTTACGCACCGCGGTGGGAATAGCCTCTGCACGACAGAACGACGCCGCCCTTCTACACGTGCTGTACCCCCTTCGGCTTCTGATGGATCCGAAGAATCTGGCTTGGGGGACCTTCCCCGGGCAGAGCATTCGCATCTCCCTTCCGCTCCCCGGCGTGGATGGCACCTTGAAGCCGGCCACCGCGCCTCGGAAGAGCCAAAATTTGTATGTCTTCTCCATCCAACGCCCGTTCGACCTCCACAACCCCTTTTTTGACCTCCCGTTTTCGGCCCTGATGTGGAGCTTCTCCGCCGACGCCCTGCGCGTCCTGCAGAGCCTGCTGTTTCAGGAACGGCGGGTGGTCTTCATCGGGATGACCCCACAGCACGCAGCGGCGTGTGCGGTGAGCGCCCCGGCCCTGATCGCCCCCCTGATATGGGTCGCCCCGCTTATTTCGTATCTTTCGCCAGAGCACCTCTTCGATTGTCGGGGGCTGGACGCGCTGTTCGCGATCCCGGACGAGCGCGGGGGCGGAAGAGGGGAGTCCGGCGGGTTGATTCTCGGCTCAACCCCGGAGCTGGTGCCGGCGTTGACGATGCGGCTTCGCCAGAACGCCGTGTGGATTGCCGACGCGCGGACGGGAAACGTCAGCGTGATCTCGCCCAACCCCCGGCCTCCCGACACCACGATTGTCCTGGAGGTCCTCCCCGAAAGCGATAAGCTCAAGTCGTTGATGAAGAAGTGTATTACGAATGGAGGGCAGCTGGCCTTTCGGGCCGCCCTCGAGACCATGGCGGCGTATTACGTAAACCACCGCTCGATCCACAAGGGCGGGGTGGCAGGTCTGAAATCGCGCATACAGCTCCCGGCGGTCAGCGTGCGCGGCATCAAATGGGATGACCTCAGCGGGACCTCCGAATCCGCGTCGAACCAGAATAGTAGTAGTAATATTGACACCACCTACAGCCAGGAATGTGATAACGACTCACCAGAGACGACTCCCTGCGTTACTGGAAATCCCTCCAAGATCGCATCTGGGGCGGGGGGGAATCTGAGTGATGTAAATGCTTCAGTTTACCCTACCTTTCCCGATATACCCTCCACCCGTATCTCCGAGGTGCACGTTGCGATACTCGAGTATAACTCCCAGTTGTTCCTTGGAAACTACCGAAAAAGTTTTAAAATGAATTTAGCTTCTCCCTTGGCAGCATCGAGGTCTTCCAGGGCCGTTTCCACAATCTACTCATTGGAATATCTAATTTCCAACCTCAACATGAGCAGCGCCCTGGCAAAACAGATCTCCCAGACTCATCACCTCAAGCAGTTTGAGCACGGCCTGATGGATGCTGAGTTGTTGGGGCTGCAATACGTGCTCCATGGCGATTATATCTGTTTCCCCGCTGGTTTTACAATCAATAACTTCATCGCACATGAAGCGAATGCCATATCGAATCGCTACGTATCGGATCCACGCCTAGTAGCGCTGCTGTGCCTATTCTACGATCAGTGCAAACGTCGCTCTCCCGATCTATTTCCGGAATTACAAATCTTTGACGGCGTAGGGTACTGCGATCGTATCGCAACCATGAATCTACTCCATACGTTTGGGAAGGAAGACGCACACAGCCGTGCGAAATCGCCTCAGTCCGAATTTTCGGAACCTTTGATTGAAGTCCTTGCCGGGAAAACCAGCAACGATCGTAGTGCTCAAATGGAAAGCTGTGGGGTTGGGGGGTTCGGCTTCCGAAGGTTCTTTACGAAAGCCACGAAGGCGGTCCGTCAAACCATTTCCGGGGCCTCCACACCCCAAATTGTGCCGATCCCCTTCCCCGACTTCACGCAAACTTTCCTGCGCTTCACGGACACAACTAAGCTGAATGGGCCGTCTGCGGTGGCGTTCTGGAAGAGAGTCAATATGGTGCCTCCGCAGCCTGGGGCGGGTGTCAAAACTTCCACCACTAGTAAGGTCGATCTACCAATCAAAGAAGGGATTGTATACTCACAGGAGATATGGGCCCACGGCGTGGCCGCGCAGGCGAAGGAAACGCTCATGGAGCTAGAATATTCACTCCCAGACGTCAAAATCCCGATGATGAGTGGTATGGATGACTTAGAATACCAACACAACGGGTATACTTCGCCGAGAAGCGAGGAGGCTAGCAAAGGGGGTCACACGGATGTCCCTGACAACTGCTGCCTACAGCTCGGCCTCGACGTGATCCACCAGTTCGATCGCTACCATCCGCTGCTCAACCCGGAATGGGCGGAAACGAAGATAGGGGCGCCCCTAAGTCGTGCAAAGGCCAAGGCAGCCGTGATGTTGGCCGGCATGCTCGCGCAGATGTTCCCGGCGAGTCGGCGGGTGCATCTCCACGCGGAGTCGCTGCCCGAGCAGGTGCTGCCGCCCCTCAGCCCCGCCTCGCCAAACGCGGCCACCTCCGTGAATTACTCCGTTGAGAAACCCGTTGTCAGTTTACTGAGCCACATACCCCATGACACGCACCTTGCCAAGCCCATTAGCAGCCCTGCCGCCACCAACATTGGCAATATCATGGACTACATTGGTGATACCGTCAACGACATGCACGTTGACAAACCCGTGGACGACCCCCCTCTTTCATTACCGTTAGCCTCCATCCGGGGGCCGACCCTGAGCCCATGCAGGCCGACCCTCAACCTCCACGAATTGGGCGAATTTACGAGCGGCGTGCCAGAGGGGTACGTCGCGAGGTCCCCGATGGCACTGCGGAGCCCGTCCTCCGGGATGCCCGCCGAAAGCGTGGACGGCAGGAACTTCCTTCCGCCCGTCCTCCCCTCACAGCCTCAATTGCAAAGGCCCCGCGATACGCCCCAGAGTGAAGCCCGTAGAACCGATAACAATCTTCTAGATAAGTTATTTATGTGAACCAAAAGGGTGGGAACGAAAAGAGGAGGGGGAGGGAAGGAGATAGCAACACGTATCGTACGAAGAAAGCGATCCTTTTTACTGGTGATGATATTATTAAAATATTTGTATTTTTAGTTTGCGTTATTTTGAAATCATAATTTTAGCGGCTGATTATGTGATGAGTATTATATTTTAAATTGTAATTGTATAATATGGAAGTGTACCTATACACACACAATCTTGATCTCTGTTGTGTCCGTGGAGGTGGAGATAATGGTGATGTTGATGAAATCCTTTGAAGAGACCTAGTGGTATACTATATAGCACCTTGGTGTTACTCTTAAAAAAAAAAGTGAAGGAGGAGTCATGACCATAAGTGAACCACAATTATTCTACGATCTATTCATACCGCGGCATGCTGCGTAAAAAAAATAAGCCAGCTAACGCATCATGAATAAATTACTAGGGATTTTTTCCAGAAGCGTGTGAATTCCCTCGTCGACGTGTAAATTTTCTTGTGCATTCAATTTATTTCTTAAAATCAAAACAAAACTATTCTTGGAAGAATAGTCAAGAAGGGCGCTTTAGAAGCGAATTAAAACGCAACTAAAGAAATGTGACTGTAAGCCAAAAAACTCATGTGCATACACAGGGCACGTCGAAAAGGCGGAAAAAAATTTATGTTTATAAACTAAAAAGGCTTGTTGTAGGTATTGATTTGCTCAACCACAATCTTTTCTGAATATCGATACATTATCCCTTTCAAACCTTCAATTTGTCTTAAATGGTGATATGGTCTGATCAAAGAATGTCTGAAGGAGATGGGGGGGGGAGGAAGTACCGGAAATAACTAAATTTCACCAGAGACAAGGATTATTTAATCATATTTATAGATTTGTTGAGAAACGATGTCTCACTCGTCTGGGGTTGTATTTCAGCCGCACAGCAAACTCACCGGGGTCGTCGCGCCTCCGGAGAAGCTGATCCCGATGGTGAACTTCTCGATGGTGTGCCCCGGGGTCTACCGCGGCGGCTACCCGACGAAGAAGAACTTCCCATTCCTCCAAGCCCTGCACCTGCGGAGCATCCTCTACCTGTGCCCCGAGGACTACGCCGAGAGCAACCTGAAGTTCTGCGAGGAGAACGGCATCGCCGTGCTGCGCTTCCCCACGGAGGGCAACAAAGAGCCCTTCTGCGACATCGCCGAGGCCCTGATGCACCGCGTCCTGGGCGCGATCTGCGACACCCGCAGCCTGCCGCTGCTGATTCACTGCAACAAGGGAAAGCACCGCACCGGGACGGTGGTCGCCGCGCTGCGGATGCAGCAGGGCTGGTCCCTCGTCTCCGCCCTCGATGAGTACAAGCGCTTCGCCGGGGACAAGGCCCGGTTTGGCGACCAGCAGTACGTCGAGCTCTACCACGCGGTCCTGCGGCTGACCCCGCCGTTCGTCCCGGCCTGGTTCGTCCGGTCCGCGCGCGCGACCGTCGTCTACAGCGAGCGCGAGCTGCTCGAGGTGGAGGCGCGGATGGTCACGCAAAGCCCTTTTTCGACAATCACCCCGGCGGCCTTTGGAGGGGGGAAACTCGGCGGCGGCTTAACCGCCCCACCACGACCCTCCGTCACGGGGGGCCCCAACGAAGATGCCGAAGCCGAAACAGGGGGCGTCGTGTTGAATTCGATCCTGCCATCTCCGTCCGAAGCGGCCGCTTCGGCAGCCCCGTCCTTGGCGTGAGCGAGATATCGAAAAATATATCAGGGTCTCCCTCTTTCCGATGCACACACACGCCTACTTCTCTATTTATGCAAACACTACATTCATATAAAAAGGAAAGTATAAAATTTCGGGAAGTAGGTGATTCCCAGTTGCCAAAGAGTGTGATGAACGCAGAGGAATCCGGAATGCGTTTATATGGTCAGAACCCCAGATATATTGTCCTTTTGTATAGGGTAATGTAATTTTAGTTTGGTTAAAGTTGATCAATCGAACCCCTTTTTCCTCTCCGCGAGGGGGTAGGATTGTTTTTTTCTGCAATCTCAGTGATTTGCATTTGTACTTAAGGGCTTTGTACTGAAGGAAAAAATAAGAAATACCCCGAAGAGTATCCAACCTTTTATAGTATTTGTAACTTAGTGACTATAAAATACTTATCATACACCTTGGAATGGACAAAAAAAATACCCAATGCCAAAAGTTATGGTTTGTTCATTGGTAACACATTTCCTATTTCTTTGCGTCTTTTCTGATTGTCGTTGTATGGGTATTCAACTTTGGATATAGAAAAAAGGGATGCAAAGCGCGTCATATAATCATTTTTTTCTTGTATTTTCTTGTTAGATGGGTTTTGGACCGGTCAACCCATTGCATCTCCCTCATAACAGGGGATCTGGCAAAGAAAAATGCATGCGGAAGCCACACGTCCAGCCATCAAATCAACAATGGAAAGATTCCGTCTCTCGAGAGCCCTCTCCTATGCCGCGCCCATACTCAGCTCAGAATCCCTACGACAGCCAAAAGCTGCCTCCCTTTCTCTATCGTCAATCTCCTTATAAGCGCTATCAAACGCTTCTACGGGTCAGCAGGGCTAGGACTCCAGGCTGTACGGCTTGTAGATCCAAATCACAAGACAAAACCCTCCCCGATGGCAATTCTCCTAACAATGTAAAACAACTGGAAAAAGTTGAGGAGGAACCTGAAAACGAATGTTCGACCCCCATCCTATGCAACTTTAGCTCGTCTTCTTCGAATAGTTTACGGCTCTCCGCGTCCCTGGAGCCCGACCGATCAAGTGTGAAGCTCTGCAGGGTGAATCCTTCCTATCTGAAAAATATGATCCCCGTCGTGATGGAGTTTTCCTCCTTAATTGATAAAATCCACGACGAAACCGCGCCGGCGTGCGTGGATGATTTAAAATGTGTGCTTACACGAAAGCAGCACCTCTTCCAGAAGCACGGTTCGCCCTCCACACAAGAAATCACCTCCAACCAGAAGTCCAGCATCCTCCTCACGACTGCCCGGCATAGCTCCATTCGAAAACTACCCAACCCGGAGGGCGAAATCGGGGAGCCTGAAAGCAAAGTCGAGGTCTGGGAAAAAAAGGGATCCGGGAATGGCGACCTCACGCAAAGCCTCACCCCATCGGATCGTCTGGGGATGACGACGCCGAGGACGCATTCTTTATTATTGCTTCCATCCTCCAGCGCGTCCTCGCCGGCGGGGCGCGGGCGGGGAGGGCGTCTTAGCGGGAAGAAAACCACCTTGAACGACGACGGACGAGGGGAATTAACGAGGGTCCCCGACGCCTCGATGCTTTTCGCGCTATGGAGGGAATTGTGGGGCCATTATACCACCGTCCACGCCCTCTATGAGACCTTGTGCGAGCGAAAATCGGCACTCCGTCGCCGCGAAAAAAACTTTATTCGGCAGGTGAAAGGGATTTTGTGGGGTCCCGCGGGGGACGCCCGCGGCGAGGCGGCCTCGCCCGACAACACAAACCTCGAAAAGGAAGAAGTAGGGGGAAAGAAAAAGGATTTGGTGGCTCCTTCCCCCACCGGCGAGGACCGCGCGGCGACCGCGAAGGACGACCTCAACCGTGGGTTTCTGCCGAATCTTTCCCTGCAAACGCATTACCAGACCTTCCCCTCCACCACGGAAGGTCGGCGCAGCTCGCGGAGTTTGACGAGCAAACGCGTGAACTTCTCCCGCCCTCACAGCAATAGCATTGTCAATCCCATCACTTTGAATCCCAATGAGATCGGCCCGAATCGAGGCATCGGGGAAAACAGTTTCTTGAACGAAAGTGTCCCCTCGACGGCCATCCAAACCCAACGCCCGGATTGCCAAGCCCAATGCGATGGCATGCGAAGTTCGGAGAAGGTCCTGCGTTGGATTCAACGCCAATGCTCCTCCTCGCACGATAATTCCCTTGACGGCAGCCCCGAATATAGCCGAAGTGATGTGAATATGAATACGAGTATTATCCATAATAATAGCAACCATACTAATAATAATAGCGCGCGGGGAGGGAGCTACGACGATGGGGAGCCCATGGAAAAAGGCGGAAAGCGGCGAGGGGCGGTGCGAGGGATGGATCTCGCCAACGTGGTTCATCATCTGCACACATTGTTGGAGGACATCGCCTTGCTCATTATCAACGTCGGCCGCGAGAAGTTTACCCCGCATGTCAGTTTAAACGCCAGGTCACTAACCAACGCCCTGGTGGATTCCGCCTCGAGTAGCCTTCCTTTTCAAACCCCCTCCGGCTCTTTGTGGAGGCCGGGGATACCCCCCAATCGCGGCAATGCCAAAGGACGAACCCCCTCCCTCGCGGAGGAGAATCTCGACGACGCGCTCAACCACCTCGTCGAGGACTACCACGCCCGGATGGCGAAACAACTCCAGCAGCGCGCGATTTATCGCGAGGAGGTGTGTTTAACGCACCGGATGAAGCTCGAGATGGTGGGGTGGCCCCCGGTCAGCCTGGAATCCCCGCCCCGGACGCCGACGCCGCCGAGGGAGCAGTCGGCCGACGGGGTCCCCGGGAAGGACGACAAAACCACCAAAGCCAAACTCCGCCAGGCCCTCCTCGCGAAGGAGCGAACGCGCCGGGAGGTGTTGTTTTGGCTGGATGCCAACCACCGCGAGGAGCGCCGCACCCGCGCCCTGGAGGCGAAGCTGCACGACCTCCCAACCTATTCCATCCCCCCACGGGGAGACGTGGAAAGGAAGCGGCAGCCGCATCCGGGCGCGGACTCGGAGGCGGAGTCGGAAAAGGACCCCGACGAAAACTCGCCAAGGGGTTTGGAAAGAGGGAGGGCGGACGGGAAGACAGGGACCCCGCCGGCGACACCCCCCCTTCATTTGTATTCGTTGGTTTCCCGCCCTTTGCCGGCCCCGGCGTTTCGGCGAAATAGGGGGAAACCGTCTTCGGCGTTTACGCAAAATAAGGGAGTCTTATCTTCGGCGTTTATGCAAAATAGAGGGAAATCCTCCTCGGCGTGCATGCAAAATAGGGTAAAATCGTCCTCGGCGGTGGCGTATTTGAGGGCAAACAGCGCGCGGAACCGGGGCGTTCAGGAGGCCGCGCGGGAAAAAGCCCGGCCAAACTCCGCGAAATCACCAATGATAAGGGTCCAGTACGACGGATTTAAATTCTCCCCACTCGTGAGAAGCTGCTTTTCGAGGCATTAATCGAGAGGTAAACCTGGGATTCCCTTTTACTAATGAAAAAAAAAAAGTATCCGTATATGTAATAGCATGTGTTATAAAAGAAAAAATGTATATAAACTTATGGTTTTTTTCCTCATCTTCCCCCTTTTTTCAACTTATCAAAGTGAAAACTATGTAGTATGTGTGTGTAAATTTGGGCGAAACATTTCTAACACGTAAGAATACCACAAAAGGAATGCGTAGTAATTTGATAATTTTACTATGCTCTCTGAATAGTATATTTGACATACTTTCCCATTTTTATGGGTGTTATTTTTTTTATTAATTTTATTGATTTTTATTGTTATCCTGATATGTGTACAAAAGAACTCTTCGGTGTTTATGTTTTCAGGACCTTCTTTCTTGCGTCAATCCTATTGTTCTAAAAATAGGGCTCTCTCGTCGAAAATCGTCGTTGTCTTTATATATCCCACGATTTATATAAAAAGAGAGAAAGTCTGTTAAAGAAGGTGGTCATCACCCTTATATAAAATATATAGGAATTTCAATGTTCACACAGTCAAAAAGGTGTTAAATTTACTCATAATGTCAAAGAAACGTCGAACTTTTACCAAATAATTTTCCTTGTCATGAAATGAGAAGGTTACTTTTAATTAATAAATAGTGAATATTTTTTTTCTTTCCCTTTTTCCTCTTTTTAGTACTCATACAGAGAACAATTTACAACTAGTCCAGGTTAGGTTAAAGATGTGTAGTGTAGGGATGCACACCTCCTTGCTTTCATAATAGTTGTATGAAAGTGGTGTCAAAAAAGAAAATAGTTTTCCTTTGCTTGTATGGATATATCTATATCTATTTATAAGTATATAGATATATGGGCGTTTA